GTGTATTTTGTGTGATGACCATTTCAGACGATATAAATGGAAAAAAAAAAAAAAGTCTCAACAGCTTACACCCATGCGCACAGAACACTTCATTATGCTGTTGGAATTTAATATTTGTATTAACTTGTAAGTGCTACTGTGGAACACAATTCACACTTTTGTCTTATTGAAATTGTGTTGTTAGGTGGACATGTCAAAAGTGAAGCTGGACGTCATAAAGCCGTGGATTGCCCAGAAGATTACCGAAATCCTCGGAATGGAAGATGATGTTGTGGTTGAATTTGTCTTCAACCAACTGGAAGCAGAGAAGGTACTGTTTGCATCACTTGATTTGCAGTGTTGTAGAAGGCTGTGTTGTATTTTAATGTTGACTTTTCATAGTGGGTTGTAGAGTTTCAACTTCACGTTGTTGATTCCATTTCTGCCGTTGCTCACCTGGTTTGTCTTCCCATGTCCTTAATATTCATAACTGCTCCTGGGGTTTAATATGAGGTCTGTATTTAAATCACTACAAAAGGATGACTGTAAACTATCAACATATTATTTATGATAATTAAAAGATTGGGACTTTTGTGTCTTTAAGATCTCATATTTGTTGTAATAACTAATTTTTAAAGAAATTCAAAAAAGAGGGCAAGTAAGATAAATGTTATTGCTTTGCATTTGGTGCTGTCTGTAAATGTTCTGTTTGAATTTGTTTATAATCATGTTTTGTTCTTGAGCAGAGGAAGTGAATTAAAAAGGCTAGGATGTTCAGTTTTGTGGCAGGTTTAATCCCAGAACACTTGTTTCTGTCTAGCTGAAATATACAGATGATTATGACTTTAATGTAGATGAAATAGTGAAGGAACTAAAGAGAAAGTGGGATTGGGTAGTATGTATAAATAAGAAAAACAAATTCCAGAACTGATTGTTACCGGTTTCTTCCGCCCAATCAGACAGTTACGTTGTAAACTTGTCACTTCACCTCACTCGGAGTGCGAATTCCGCTCGGTTCGCTCGATCGGGCCGTGGCTCCTTCTCACTTGTAGCTGATTCATCTGTGATTCATCAATTCGCTGGCACGAGTTTGCCGGATTACTTCTTCAGCTGTAAAATCCAAGTTGCCTTCTTTAGTCAACCTCTCGTCATTGAGTCACTAAAACGAAAACAATATGGAAAGGTTGGTACTTAATGCAATAAATGCCTTCTTAAATTCTTATATCTTTAATCACTAAAGAAAATACATATAAATATGTGTGTTTTGTATACACAGAAGTTTGTTCATTTTTTCTTGTTGTCTAGTGACCAGGTTTTGTATCGGATGTTATTTCATCAAAGAAGTATGCACATCGTTACTTTGATTGTTTTATTGTCTGTAAGTCTTGGAATGGTGTAGTTATGTATAAATGTAGTTAAGCTCCCATTGTGACACATCCATCCCATTTTCCACCCTGTGGAGATACATTCATATGCAGGATGAATGTTGTGCCACGATCAGGATTTCATCTGTATGTGGTTTACATACATTTAATGAACTTAGAACATTGCCAGCTGGGGAATTGGGCGTTGGTTACTTCACAACTCTTTAGTCGTAGATATCGAAAACAAAATATTGATACTGATTAATACCAAATGTTAATATTTGCCATGATAGTGAAATACGCACTATTTACATGTTTAATCATTTCATTTTTTGTTAATTGATTTTTTAAGATTTTAATGTGGGTTTTATTTAATACTTTTGTATTATTTGTTATGATTTTGAAACACACGTGTATGTTTAGAATTAAAGAAATGTTTGTATTTATTATTTGAGTCGGATGTGTCTCAAGATTTATTCCAGTTTTTTTCCCCCCCAAATTCAAAATAACTTGTTTCACTTTTACGTCGTATAACAATTATTTTAATTTTTCAGTAAGGGAAGACAGTAATACTGAATAATTAATTGTTATTGTTTTAAATATCGAAATCTGCAGACAATATATGGCAGATTTTCACGTAGAATACTCTCTTAGCTACTTTACATGAAGTGAGGGTAGCAGACTGTTGAGGAAATGTTCTAATTTTATTATGTATTATATTTTACAAATGAAATGCTGTTGAGACTTGGAAACAGCCTTGCAATGATTGAGGGTATGGATTGTGTTGTGTTGTGCCAGTGAACTTATACTGTGGTTCAATTCAGTCTTTTAGCAGAAGAGGAGGAACTACCTCGAAGGTGTTGCAAAGGCGGGACTATGACAGGTGGTATAAACACGCACTCACCGCTGGTAGCCGGTATTTCTATATAGTCCACCATTATTATGCTTATTAACACATAAGACATATTTCACATATATAAATATGTACCTTTCTTTTTTCTTTTTTTTAAAATTTTTGTAGCACAGTTTTGAGAAAACTGTTGGCGATCTTGGTCGTCATCCGTGAAGTTGTTTTAATGTAATGAGCTAAACTATTTATTGGAGATAAGTATGATAAGAACTAATTTATTTTTAGCAAACATAATACAGATGACATTTAATATTACAAGTGAATGTGAATTTTAATAAAAGTGGATATCACATTACCACTTGATTTATATTTTTGCAGAGGGGTGCAAAATTCCAGTAACAGTTCCATTCCTTACAATTAAATTGCCATTTTTAATATAATGTTACTTTTAACACTTTTTTCTACTATTGGTATGGCCTGGATCATTAATGTTCTTTGAAACTTAATGGTTATATTTTTGCACCCTTGTGTATGCGATATAAATCATGTTTTATCCTACCTGTCCCCATTTCAGATGTGGCAGATTTTTAATATATTCATATCATTACAGTAATTTTACTGATTCATATTTTGGATTTTAGTTTTGTTGCACCATACAAATCATAATCTAGGTAAATGGGTGTTGATTGAATTTATAGTTGAAACAAAGCATGTTTTGTTGCGAGCTAAAACAGTTTTTAAGTTTTCCCGAAGAAACCCTATTGCTGTTGACAAATGCGCTTTCCACGACCAATACGTAAATATGTTACAGCTTTTAATTTGTCATACCTGTTTGAGGTTTGGAAAGGATTTGGTGAAAGTTATGTATAAATTCTTTCTTTGTGCTGGTTATTGCACTTTTCAGGCAAACTGAAGTACTCGCAGATATACAAAGTATACCGACATTTCAGATAACGGTTGCTAACTGCTTCATAATATTGTAACAGTTGAATTATCTTTTCAGTACATTTGCTTGTGCGATGTTTACGATCATTATTATGTGTTATGTGTGAAATTGTTACTGGGATTTGAAAATTACGCTTATCAAATCACATATTTAAGAATTCCAAGTTCTGACTATCGTCTTCTGGGTTATGACTCTGTGTAGACTTCTACGAGACTACAGTGTCATAAGTCAGACAACTACAATCTAGATTTTGCTGCTTCGTGAAACTCTAGTCTCACAGTTCATATTCGGTTTTTATACCCTCACAATAATGAATTAGAAAGTTCATCATCACTGCGACAACTCAAAAAACTAGTCACCGAATTCATCCATATGATTGTCATCACCTGTGTTATTTACGTGTCTAATTATTTCCTCGTGTTTTTCCTTTTTGACTACTGTGTGTTAGAATATAACGCAGACTTAATGAGGGAAGTGTCAGACTGGCAGCCAGCGTTGTAGATTGCCTTAGCTATTAATTGGATACCAACATGCAGGTGTTTCATTTTGAGGTGATTTGTATCAGGAAACTAATGATTTCTAGTGATATATGAGCTGTTGTAGCTTTCTCAGTATAGTGTCTGGCTACGGACTGGATGACCGGGTTCGATCCCCGATGGGGGCAGAGGATTCTCCCTCTAGCCTCTGTGTCCAGACCAGTTCTGGGACCACCGAGCCTCCTGTCCATTGGGTACTGGGGTCCTTTCCTGGGGGTAAGTGCAGCTGGGGCGTGATATTGACCACTCACTGCCATCTAGTGCCAAGGTCAAGAATGAGCAGGAGCTATACCTTCTCTCCCCCCAAGCGCCTACATGATGTATAGTGGAACTGTTTTACTTTACTGAATGCAAGTTCTTCATTAGCAAACTTCAAATAATTGATAGGACCAGTGATAGATGAAAGGTGTCTAAACACAGAGCAAAAAATGTTGGTGAAGTAGCATGTCGAGTGGCTTAAAATGTGTCGATTCTGCCTGGATGTTGGACTGGAAAGGCATGAAGCTAGGACGTTGTTAGAATTTGCACCTGTGGGGGTTGTAAGTCTGACGGAAGGAAATAAGTCCGTAGAAGTCATTCGTGCTGCTTATAAAAGATGAATGTCTTTAAAAATTTGGTGTCGTGCCCAGATGTGGCAGAATTTAATATGTGTGGGTTTTTAATATGTTTTATCCATTCAGAATCTTTGATAAAAGGAGTCCTGGAAATATTGTATTTAATGAATTTAAAGATTGCTGTTTAATTTTGTCATCTTAATTTTGAAATGTGCTCATGAATTATTGTTCTGAAATGTCATTTGTTTAAGTTGCATGCTTAGTTAGAAGGTGCAGAATTTGTATCATCATGTAGCGCAATTGGAACTTTGAAATTTGAGGTTTGCGTAGAATCTCTTGAAAGTTTCGGGACATTTCCATGGGTTTTATGCTAAGAATCTTTGACGTTAATACTTATGACTTATTTGTGTACGAGAACATGCCAACGGTTTTCCGAAGATTGTCGACTATTTTTCGTAATTTTGTTGCGTTTAGAAAACATAGTGTAGCATTTTTACATTTTTGGCCGATACTAGTTCATAAGTTCGCATTTATCAGGTTATTGTCGTGATGTTCGAGTGATATTTTTTGTCCATGTTAGGTCTGCGTAATTCTACTTCCAAGATTGTGCTGGTGTGGGCAATACATTTTTCACATACACAAAATATAATGTGGCATGAGAATTTCAGTAACATTTTATTTCAATGCAGGTAGTGTAACGATCCTGTAGCATTTGCCATGTTTAGGTCTTTGGAGTGCTTTTTAAGTCTTTTCAACCAAAATCTTGTACACATTCCTCATCTGGGTTACAGGCCCCGCTCATCAATTCTTTTAATTTATCATCTTAATAATATTTTGTGAAGAGTACAAATTATGGAAGTCATCATTAAACAGTTTTATACATCGTCCTGTCGCTTCATCTCCTTTATGCTGAAATATTCTCAGTGCCCTGCTCTTACTTTTATATGGGAAATCAAGTTTTGCCTTTTGGATGTGGATATTGAAAGTTATCAGGAACAATCAGTTTGAGATTCTGGGAACGCTGCATCATATCACTTTACACATTTTCTCATGTTGCGCCATCAGGTTTTATGATAACTGATAGCAATTATTATGATACTATAAAGGTTACTGATTCATTATACCAATATTATACTGGACAATGCCCATTGGCTGATGAATATTTGTTATACTTGAAGATGGGAATAAAACGTACTCCTGGAATTGTGTATATTTCACGTATTCATCAGACCATAGAAAATATGCAGTATTTCTTTAAAGCCGTTCTTTCATCGTAGAGTTTATGTGCTGTATGTGAAGTTTCACGTTGTTGACCAATAAATATGTTTTATCACTTAATGTTTTCCAAATTAAGAGCTGTTAAAAAAGTGCGGATTGTATTAATTTTAATGTAAATACAGTAATGCCTTTTAGTTGAACCTTGTTCCCATGGACGTAGAAGTCTTACCACTGCTCAATGTTTTTAAATTGTATCCGGAATAGTATATCATTCCGTTTACTTAAAATGTTTTAATGGGGACCGATGTAGGTATGTATGGCATTTTTATCTTTGCAGTTGTTAGTGTTGCGTGATCCTGTACAGATATCGTCAGACGTTTTTAAATTTTCCACGTTTATGCGCCCACAATCGTCGAAAAAAATGGGGTGAACTTTTTCTGTTTTGTGGTGCAAGTTTGCTTAAACGGTTAACCTGTTTTGCTGTCTACGCGATGTTTTAAAATTGTGATCCTCTGGATTTTACTGATATTTTGGAGGAACGTATTGATACCGCCTTGCAGGTAGAGGTGACGTGTTCTTCTGAAACTTTGGTAATCATGCACAGGACTACATATCATTGCAACCCAGGCGACCTCAGGCCCCATTTTCACCATCGTGGGGAAAACTAAGATTTCCATATGATGTGTTAAACATGATCACTTGACACAGCATCAGTGAAAGGGTTAATAAATTACTTTATAACAATTATAAATTAATTTTAGTGTTCTAAAGAAATTGGTTATTACGGTAAAACATTTTATTTCAAGTACCATGCTTCATTTCTTTTTACATCCATTTGTCTTTTATGATATTTTTATTGTTTGGCTTAAGTTACGAATTATATATATTCATATCAGTTATGGAGTCAGTGGATTTTTATTTAGTGACAGATCATTTATATAGTTTGTCTTGGTGCTGGTGCGTTATATTGTAAGAGGCCGTTTACTTACATCACGTAGGAGATAGGAGACGCTCCTTGTCAGTCGTCGTAATTTAATTTGGTTATCGGCAGGAACTAAATCAATTTCTTAGTATATGCTGAGGTGGCAGGGATGTGAGATCATTTTTTGACAACAGACTAAGATGAACGGCATGGTTAGTTACTAGAACATTGAGAATAAATGTGAAATTTGTTATATAGGTTAAGAAATAGCGTAGAGCAATATTCTTTAAAACAGTAACGTACTGTAAGTTTGCGAGAGGGTTAAACGTTTGTTCTCTTCCCACCTGTGTGTTTAATAACAGCACCCAGATCCCAAGAAGATGCAGATTAACCTGACAGGGTTCCTGAACGGCAAGAACGCTCGCCTGTTCATGTCAGACTTGTGGGAGCTGCTGTTGTCGGCACAGGACTCGGTCAGCGGGATACCAGGGCAGTTCCTCGAACAAAAAAAGGAGGAGATAAAAAAGAGAATGGTGAGTTCGTTCACAAGCGTGATGTGAGGTGAACTGTATAAAATCATTTGGGATGTTTTTTTTCACAAAGCGACTTTGTGCTTTCACCTTCTTGTTTATAGGAAGAGCAAGACAGGATACAAGAAGCTTTGAAGAACAAACTGGATAAGAGCAAAGACAAAGATGATAAAGACCGTAAAAGGGATAGAGACAGGTACGTAATACACTTGTACGGAATATGATTTTTCACTCTTATTAATCGTAAGAAGAGGATTCCTGCTTGAGAAGCTGATAGTCTCGCAGCTAGTCAAGAAATCCTCCATGTTTAAATTAACCTAGAAATTTATTTTTGAGTGTACATGGGCTTGTCATTAGCCCTCGGCTAATGAATCTAGTTCGCACTCCGTCTCTTTAAAATCTATTTTAATATTGTCCTCCCGTCTCTACTTGTATCTTACAAGTGATATCTTCCTGCTTCAGGTTTTTCTGTGTGATGTTTTTCCTGACATTTTGTTCTCGTCTCTGATTTCAGTTTCGCACTTTCATGATTAGAACCAACTTCAGAATTCTCTTTCTTTCTTCTTAATATGTGTTTATGTCGTCTCATGTTATTTACTACTTTGTCTTCCAAGGCATTTAACTTTAGGTTATTTTTTATCCAGTCGATTTTTGTTTTTCCTTTTGTACGTTTTAACAATCTCATCTCTGCTGTTAGTTTCTAGCTGTTTCAGTCCATGTCTGGATTTCTGCTCCATATGTTAATATGAGCATATATAGTAAATTTGAAATACTATATTTTTCCCTTTGTGATTTCTCATTTCCGTAGTATTCTGCTAACTAATTAATAGAATTTTATATTATTTTTTGGAAAAACTTGTAGTGGTGTCATATAAATGCAGGAAGAGATTATCTGCTGTAAAATTGTAGATTAGACGTGGTGACAGTGCCTTAATGGTTGCAGTAAGTCATCGTTGTATATTCACGTTTGTAACCGCTTAAGCTCACCCTCATTCTGAAATGTGTTAAGGAAGAGAAGCCGATCTCGCGACCGTCATCGTGAGCGTGACAGAGATCGTGACAAGGACAGAAGAGACCGTGATAAGGACAGAGAAAGAGAACGTGAGAAAGAGAGGGAACGCGAAAAGGAGAGAGAGAGGGAGCGTGAAAAGGAACGAGAAAGGGATAAAGAGCGGGAGAAAGAGAAGGAACGCGAAAGAGAGAAGGAGCGGGAACGAAGAGACAAGGAGAACAGCCACAGATCTCCATCAAAATCTCCCAGAAGGTAAACGCGCAGGTGACACCTGTAAGACATGAATTTTTTAGGTAGCATTGGTGCCCTTCCAAATTTTAAATGAGAAGGGTTTTTTTTTCTTTCTAGTAATATCGTGTATGTAGAGTGATTTTATGTGGGATGAAATGCAGTTATATCTTACACAAGATGTAATGAAATGTAACTATTAGTGACCTTCAGAATTTGTTTCATGTGAAACTGTGACGTAAGTACGCGTGTGGTTTAGTGATGCACTTTGGTTGAGGCTAATTTTTGTCATTGAGTAGTAATTTCTAGAATGCTGTATGTTATAGGTCAATTTCACCGCCAGTTAAAACTGAAAGTAAACCAGAAGTGAAAGATGTGCACAACAACAACAACAACAACAACAGACATTCTTCGTCCTCCCCAGAGCCCGAGACTAGAAAGAAGCAGGATACGTCTACGAAAGTGTAAGTAAGCAGATAAAAGCGTCTTACAGAGTGAAACTTGCTCTCTCTGTGTGTTCTTTGGGCACGCGATGCCGCGTGTCCTTGTAGGTAGATACAAACGTTTTGAAGGAACATATCCTGCCCCTGATCCTTCTAAGACCCGCCATAGAAATGTTGCAAACCAAAGTTTTAGATTCTTGTTCCTCATACATTTCTGGTGAGGGAATTATTATTTCTTTCTGTATGTCTATCTGCCGTGGTTTTATTAATGTCCTCTAAAGAAATTTGAATATCTTTTTTCAGAGAACCACCTCGTGCTATGTCAAGTGTTCAAGCTAAACTCCTCAGCCTGGCAGGAGGACCCAAAGTGAAACCTTCAGATACAGTTAATGACAGATCTTCCTCATCTCGATCAAGATCTAGGTCACGCTCATGTTCCAGGTCTACCAAACGTCCAGTCGCCAGGAAGCGTTCGTCTAGTCGTGAAGCTAGCAAGTCGTCATCACCTTCTAGGTCAGATGTGATTCTTATATTGGCTGCTTCTTTACTGGCTTGTTTCCTGGTACCTCACCAGCTGCTTTAATTCGCTCTAATTGTTACACAAGTTCAAATTAGGTGCTTCTTTGCAGCTTAATTTTGAACAAGCCTGAAGTTTGGATACTGTCGTGAAATGTACTGTAACGGTTCTCCGCTTTTCCTGCCTCGTCAACATTGTCATTTTCCAGTGTTTTTACATCTTGTTTCATTGTTTACAGGGCTCCTAAGAAGTCACCTGAAAGGGAACGAAGTCGCAAGAAAAAGGCGGCTTCCAAGTCTCGTTCTCGGTCTAGATCTCGAAGCTCTTCCTCTTCGGCCGCGGAATCCCACAAGAGCAAAGGCGGTAAATCTCAGTCAGGAGCGAAAGCAAATCACCGTTCTAAATCACGGTCACATTCCAAATCCAGAAGAAGTTCAAAATCCCACTCAAGGTCACCGGCCAAAAGGCGCTCAAGGTCGCCGTTGAAGAGAAGGTCGGGATCGCCGAGTAAACCGGCTGGAAAGGGGGGAAAGAATAGGGCTCAGAGTTCGGAGAGCGACAGCAGTAAAAGTGCGTCGTCGTCATCTGAGCACTCGGAAAAAGGTGTGTTCCGTCTAGTATTAGCGTTTAAGAGGAAATTTAATGCAGTGAAATCTCCTGTAAGCAAAATTCAGGGGAGTCGTACGTTTGTATTTGTTGCAAACTTTTAAAGAATCGATACTTTTCATTGCTATAATTATTGTGTTTATTGACAGGTAAAGGTAGCAAGGAAGAAGATTTTGAAATCCACAAGAAAGAAGACAGCGTGCAGAAGAAGCGGCATTATCGGAATAACAACAAAGATAATGACTCTTCGGGAAGTGATTCGGATGCTGAGCGCTCCAGGCGGGTAAGTTTATGTGCTCCGTGTCTTCCGGCATCTAAAGCTGTTTAGTACGTTGCAAAAAGTAAATTGTTTTATTGTCACAATTTAATGATAACCAATTGATGCTTTGGAGGTTATGGTTTGTTGGGCTAGTTATCAAGAAGTTTTTGATAGTACGTAAAAAGAGGTGCTACTAGGACTCTAATTTCTTTGTGATCGTGTAGCAGTCACGTGGTGTATTAAATAAAAGAGATGGAGGCAGTATGTTCCTCTGAAATGTCAGAAGCACAGCTCAGTTGCATGTGGTGCAAGCACATAAAAGTGGGATCAGGGTTAAGAGTGATATTATTTGCCACCTTTTAGGTGTTTTTCACAATGCGGCATAAGCGAAGAACCTCCCGCTACCCTGACCATATTTATCTGTCATTTTTGTTTCATTTCACGCCCTGGTCGCTGTAATATAATACTGAACACACCAACCACATTTGAACGACATAATGTGATTTTCTGTTTTCTCAGGAAAAGAGAGTTGGTTCAAGTCCCCGTTCGCCTCACCGACGACACAGAGCAGCCAGCCGGGATCGTGAACGGGAAATTTTTCGTGAAAGGAGAGGTGGCAGATACAGACGCTCGCTTGAACGCGAGAGAGAACGGGAGAGGGAGAGGCACAGGATGCGGGAGAGAGAGAGAAGAAGAATGCCTCCGCCATTGATGAGGAGACCGCCGTCTAGGAGACTGTGAGTGTGTGCTGCAGCACAAAATAAAAATAACTCAGAATTTTTGTTGGAAGCTGTTCAGAAAATTTCATCATTAAATGAAGTGTATAAATAAAACAGGACGCTAGAAAACTTTGCATTTTTAAAAAAGATGAATGAGTATTGACTGCATGGGGAATATTTTGTATGAAGGAGTTAGTTGCTAAAACATCTAGCTTTTCTTCCTCTTCTTCTGTAGCTCTCCGGTCCGTATTCGGTCCACGGCCTCCTCAATTCTCCTCTTCCATTCGGTCCTTCTGTTAGGTCCGTCTGTCCGAGGCTTTGATCGAGGTTTTGAAACGTCTCCTTTTTTATGGTGCAAGGTTGTTAGCCTTGCGACCAACCCCCAACCTGGAGGACCAGGGTACCTGTCTTAGTCCGACCTCTCCCCCTCGACCAATCTGGCTAGGGACGCCCTACCAGTAGCTCTTGGGGTCTCTGAGGTACTCAAGCCCCACCCCCACGACAAGGTGCGGGTACCATTAAGTGGGGACTTCTAGCTTATTACAAAGGAAATCTTGTATTCTACAAAATCAAATTCTTATTTGTATTTCAGCCTTTGAAGCTAAAGCCTTATGTGAATTATATTTAAACATTTTGTTCTTACCTCAAAGAAAACACAATTTGAAGTGTTTAACAGCAATGCTTATTAAAAAAAATTAAAAATTCAGTTCCATGTCTAAAGTAGCTCCACATTCTTTATGATAATGAAAGTGATCACTCCACCGAATCTAGAGTTTTGGGCCAGATTGTGTGCTCTTCATAAATTGGACTGTCTTTTGTTTTGGTACTTCAATTTTGTAAGTATAAATTGTGTATTGAAACAGAAACGCGGTTTCTGGTAAAAGGTATATATAAAGCAGTGAAACCAGATGTTTTTCACACCATACCAGTATGTCTAGAATTCATAAAAATGTCTTCGTTCTAGGAGTCCAAGGAGAACTCCAAGAAGAAGTCGCAGTCAACAATCAGCTTCTCAGCATCGCTCACGCTCTCCACATGGTGTAAGTTAACTTGCCTGTATACGTTAAAACATTGCGTTCCGTGTGCGAATGTTTTTACGACATATAATTCCCAGAAACTAAAAATATACGGTTTTTTTGGCACCAGTTAAAGTTATTTATTGGGCTGAAACCTGGTCCAAGGGGCCCAGTGACGTAGGATTTCGTCATCCCACGCGTCACCCGACGACAGAAGTAGAACCGACTTCAGAATGTGATTTGAAAAGTATTTGGATGTTGGATGAAGTCCAACAGAATAATTGTACGCAATATTATGTCTTTACAAGACGGGTGTGAGGAATTTGTGATGTGAACAATTAATTTGGTTTCATTCTTCAAATACCTTTCAATTTTGAAGCATAATTTTATTGTGACCGTCGCTATTATTTGATTTGCTTGCAGAGAAGCCACAATTCCACCGAGAGGCGGCGATCTGTTTCTCGAGATGAAAAGAAGAGGAAGCCTCGTTCTGAGTCTCGCAGCGCCTCGCCACCGTCTGCAAAACAGAGGGTTAGTTAATATTTTAAAGAGTGAAAATTGTAGGCAGAACTGTTTACCAATTCCCTCGGGAAATGTTTCACGACCTCTTGTTTTAAAATGATTTTGTGTTTGGATTTTATTAACTGCGTTAATCAGCAAGTAGAGGCAGAACATAATTTAGGAGTTCAAAGTAAAAATTTTACGTAATAAGTTTCAGGCTGTCCGCTGTGAACCAGTGTGAAATACGGTTTTTATATTTCGGTAAATGCTGTAAACATTTAACCCCTCAATTTGGAATGTAAACGTGTGCGAGCTTTGCGTGGAAAGATCATTAGGTTCATTTCCATTGAGTTTGCTCCTGTTTTTTATTTATATTTGTTAAACGAAACATGCTTTATGAGTTATACAGGTTTGTTTTTCGAAAATTAATAAATTAACATTATAATGCCCTTTGTTGATAACTACTTGAAATATTCTTCTTCTTCTTGCGTTTCTTGACCGTTACTTCGGTCTTCTGGTGCCTAATATTTTCTTCCATTCTTCTCTATTTTCCCATCCTTCCGGGAGTAGTTTCCACTCTATCATGGTTCTTCTAATTCTGTCGTTCCGTCCTGGTCTCGGTCTCCCTCTCTTCCTTCTCTCTTTTGGTTGCCATTTCATAGTCTTCTTTGGTAACCTTTCCTCCTCCATCCTTTGCACGTGTCCATACCAAATCAGTTGTCTTTTCTCTATCTCCTCTATTATTTCTCGATCCATCCTCATGATTTCTCTAATCCTTTCATTTCTCACTCTCTGTCTTCTGGAAATTCCAGCCGCTCTTCTTAAGAAATCCATTTCCATTATTCTCAACTTATTTTTTTGTTGTTCCGAGAGTTGCCAAATTTCTGCCACTACGTGAAATATAAAGGCTAGATTATTTGAAGGTGGACACGATTGTCCTGTGATGTTGCCCATTTTGCGTCAGGAGTCGGACTCCATGTTCCAATGCGGGGGGTTCATTTCCGTTCAGCTTGTAGTGTTAAACCTCTGCATTCACCCCATTTGAGCCACGTTCCTAAGTAAAATTCCATTTGTACTTGCTGTTCAATTGGCATCCACTACGTATTTAACGTCATTGACTTTATGATTTTTGGGACATTACAACTTATTTGCCGTACGATAACGAGCGACTTGAATTTTGTGTATAATCCCATAGAGTTTTCCAGTTTTTTCCTCCTCCCCTTTACCCCATTTTAGTCATCGTTGATGGTATACCGAAATGTAATTTTTGTAGAATGTCGATTTGAACTGCGTACTAATGCCAAGTTACTTTAAATGATGATTCATAAGCTGCCTTTTCTTTCCCGTTTAGTTCTCACACAGTCTGTCAAGAACACCGTCGCCGTTTAGAAAAGGGGCGGATAAGGATCAGGAGATTAGTGCAGACAAGAGGTCTGTCAAAAGCAAATCTAGAAGGTAAGAAACTGGTGTGATGTGAGTTTGAATTGAAGTAAACGAACCCCATGGAGCAGCGACCTTTGAAATGTATGTGATATCATGTTATAAAGGACATTACTACCGGTACAAGTGGTTTTAAAATCCGCAGTTTCTAGTTCTCTGGAAACTTAAAATGTACTGCTTCAAGCGCACGTGCTATTAGTACTTGTTCTGTGCGCGTATCACGACAAAACTACTACACATTAAGAAACACACTGAATTCTCACTGTGAATCCAACTTCGTTGTTTGTTACAAATACGAAGTCCTCTCTGAAGAAGATTTTATCGAGCATTGTTTCACTTGTTCTGATGTGAAAATATAGTGGTAACTGTTTTTCAGGTCTCCTTCAGAAAATGACGATAGGGATACGTCAGTCAGCCGGAAAAAGGGCGCACCGCCATCGTCCTCTCCTTCTCCTGATAAGAGCAAGCTTAAATCAAGGGATCGAATTTCAGAATCTCGCCAAGTAGAAAAGAACCATAAGAGGTCGTCAGCTGCCATAAAGGAAGGGAGTCGTGAGAAGGCAGTTCGAAAGGTTCTGAGGCAGGATCCTGAAGATTCGCCACCTGCGAGAGAAAGGTGAGACACGTCGAGTCTCGGAAGGTAACTGTAAATCAGTAACTTGAACGAGTAGACTCGAGTAGTAATATTCCGCAGGTGCCATGTTCACATCTTCATTATGGACATCAGCTGTCAAAAAATATTTTTTTGTGGTGTTACTCAGTCCTTCCTGGTGGATGCCTTGATAGTACACTTTAAACATGTAGTGCCCGCATATTATTCAACCCTTTCAGATGCACTGGATCCTTCCATCCTTTTCTCGGATGGAAGGATCCAGTTCATATGGACCTGTCGTCAGACAGAACACTAAATAAATAGTCGCCACAGTTGATGTTTCATTATTAAACAACAGTGTCTGTTGGTCTGAGAGTAATTAAACAAGTTTGGGCCGTTAAAATTGACGTTCTATGGGGAAATATTTATGTTGTGGCTGTGTGCCTGTTTGTAATCGCTTTAGAGTATTTCGCTGCTGCACCTGTTTTATGTGTTTTCATGTTTATCTTTATATTCAGTCAGTGCTCGTGTTCTTCAGCGTTTTTGAGATGAATTATTATTTTAAGTAAAAACTTATTAATGTTCTGTACTATTCCATTATTTGTTGGCAGAGATCGTAAAGCTGGTAAGAAACAGTCAGAGTCGCCAATACGGTCAACTGAAAAAGAGAGAAAACCCGAGGAAAAGAAACGGAAGGTTTCCGAGAGCTCGGAATCTCCGTCTCCCAAACGAAAGAAGTCCGGGTCCCAGGACAAGCAGGTGGTAAGAAAAGTATGCGGACATTTTATTATATGACACCTTGAAACACTAATAATTGTTAATAATGGTTAAGAAATTCCTGCTTCTTGTCTGACCCAAATGTTCACTTGTGAACGCCACCGAATGCAGTCCTGAACTAGATGAATCCAGTCGATGTCCTCGCTTCATATTTCCTAAAGATCCATTTTAATATTGTCTGTCCTCACATGTATGCCTGGGTCCTTGAAGAAAGATGAAGTTATGTAGTGTTTTCTTGGGGTTAGATACCTTATTCAAAATAGTACTTTTGAATCCAAGACAGGGCTATCAGTGTTACCACCCCTTCAAGGCAAGGAAATTATGCTGTTTTGTTTTTTCAGAGCCGGACAAGGAAGGCTGACACTTCTGAATCAGACGATTCAGAAGAAGAGGAACGAGTGAAGGTTGTAAAGAAGAAGCGGCGGGCATCCAGCTCAGAGGAAGATACGAAAGCCAAAAAGAAAAAGAAGAAGAAGCAAAAGGAGTCTTCAAGTGACTCTGATGTGGTATGCATTTCAACCGCCTTCATTCTTTCTTTCTCCAGGATTTTCCAAGGTCATCTAGCGTTAAGGTTAAGGATGTGTGGAGCTGTCCCTCCACTCCCCAATAAGTCTGCGTGGCCTGGTGCTTAGGCACCGAGGAGAGCTCTACTTCGTACTATGGAATCATTTTAGAATTCTTATTTATTTCAAGGATGTTTCTTGTTTCTTTTCCAGTTTCACACATTCCTCCCGTCTTTTTTAGGATCTGCCTGCGTAATGTCATCTTATTTGGTAATGAAGAATCTTTTTCAGATTTCTTAGGTTTGTCATCCTGCCTAGATGTTATTATGTCTTTATAATTAGCTTAAATATTTAATTTTGATTGGTAAAAAAATTTGTTGCCGCGTTGCATTAATATGGTTCTTCAGCTTTGTAAAAATGTTCCTTTTATCTGATTTATTAATGTTTTTATTTAGGTTTGTATTTCCTTTGTACATCGTAACATGACAGAGGCAGTTGGACCATGTGGTGATGTATGTATGTGCTAAGTTCCGTTAGCGGACTTAAGTTTAGATACGTGTATATCGTAGCGGCAATGTGTTGGCTAGCGTTGTAGCCATGTGCTCCTTTCATGAATTAAGATTTAGTCTTCAGAAAAGTTATAATCGAGTGATTAAATGTAAAAAAAGTTTGACACCGAGTTAATTCAAATGGGTCATAAAAATTTAATCGTAACTGAATTGTGCACGGTTGCATTTAAGTAACGGAATTTGTTACTACGTGCCGAACAGGAGACGCTCCATGGCTGTGTAAATTTGTAACCAGGTTTTGTTAACAAGCGTGTGTTTGTGCTTACAGGAAAGTGATGCTGAAGTTGAAGGAAAGAAGAAAAAGAAGGATAAGAAACACAAAAAACACAAGAAACACAAGAAACATAAGAAACACAAAAAACGCAAAGTTGAAGAGAGCGAGGTAAGCAGTACAAGTTGAGTATGAAAGATGTCGCACGGATATATTTTACCTTCGTACTAGCTGTTGTATTTCTGTTTACGTGTTGCTTGTAAGATTAGAGTTCATATGTAGTTACAGGTTACTTTGCCGTCTTATTCCTGAGGTAATTCCCAGTCAAAAATGTCACATGAACGTACATCTGATTCTCAACAGTCATGGACTTACAGATATTTGAAATTCAAGGTCATTTGAACCTTGTGTAGATCGCAGGTCACTCGCGCATCTTGGAGCATCGAGAACTCGATAACGTGGTTCCTCTTTGCATTCATACATCATGTTTTTAGCGTGACCCTAAACATGAAAATCTAAGGAAGTGATCGCTGTGCAAACCACCACGACCAATTCGTCAGTCAGGGATCTGCTCATTCTGGTATTCTGTCGCGTGTTTGACTGAAATATGGTGTGCCCCATCAGTCTGGAAGTACGTCTGTAATCGTATGTCGTGTTGTTTGCATCATCTTCGATTTCTGCCAACATCTCCGTGACTTTGAGAGCGACGCAGAATGCTGCAATTTGCAGATCCCAAGATTTGGAAGGAGTGAAAATCCATATTCTTTCCTGAGATTTTTTACAGCGGTGTTTTCGTACATTTGTCATATTTAAAAGTGGCACTTGGTGGCTCTTCAACTCGCCACATGTGAGTGGCCCCATTCTTGACAGTCTTACTGTTAGTAGAAGGCTGCTTGTTTAGTCAGTGGATGACATAAGTTATGAGCTTTTGCAAATTTTTTTTAAGCCAATACAGATTATGAAGTCCTACATTTAGAGGTTTTCCTATTTCTCATGAAAAACAAATTGTGACTGATTTGTTGAACTGCACTAAAGCAAAATCCAGAAAGCCGTAGTCCCCAGACTTTCTGGATAAGGGGTCAAGTACTGTACTGAATTTAGAATTGTTACGCAGTTGCAAAAAAAAAGAATATCTGTGTTGACGAAGTTTTACCGTGTCTTTCTCATCTCGTAGGATTCTGAAGCGAGTGAAGCGGAAAATACCGAAGAACTGGAAAGGAGGTTGCGAGAGCGAGCTCTCAAGTCAATGAAACGCAGTGAAAGGGGGGGTAGTGATGACAGCAACTGATGGCATGACAAGCTGACTGCGAAGATTACGATACAGTGCATACTCTGACAGTACAGTGAGACTATCACAACTGTCCAGAAACATTCCCCAAATCTTCCTTCTGTTTCCTCAGAAGTGTAGGCTTTTATTAATGAATTTGTATTAAATCATGGAAAGTAATACAAAAAAACTATTACACTCTTTGTTTAAACTATAGTAGCAAGAAACTAGTGGAAGGTGAGTCAGGAGTGGAAAAAAGTAGGAAACAATATTACCTGAAAACCAGTTATATCTTCATCTGTCATCTAGAGAGTGATTCCAAGCTCTTGAAACTGCGTTAGTTACTGTAATGCGCATGTAGTACGTACAGCAATCGGCAGTAACATTTTATTGGCATGCATGTATATAAACACACCTGTCTGATCCCACACTACTACTGCCGTTATAAGCGACATTTTAAAATAAGAACCGGAGCCTTGGTTTGCATTTTGTGGTTGAATTTCCTCATGTTAGCTTCCTTTTCTGATATGTTCATCTTTTGCGGATCTTCATACTTTATGTCGCATTATCTAAACTTAAATATTTAAAATGTCATGTCATGTTAGTCTACACACGGTGGCAGCGAAGAAAGAATGTCCCGAGTCACTGAGGAACACCGATGTCATCCCGTATTTTATACTTTGGGATTCGTCAGCGTAAGTAGCGCGATATTTACCCGAGTACAAAACAGCTTTAAAATTTTTTAAAGGCTTCTGTGAAAAAGGTTTTGTGCCGAGTGGGTACTCGTTAGGACTCCTTAGGTGATGAAACTGGTTGCCGCTAAGCAAAGAAAGTCGTGCTAGGATAAAAGTGACATGTAAAGTAATGAAGTTTTATCGTTATCAGGATTTACTCATAATTTCGCTCTAAGGTTTTGTCTGGAGGGTATCGAAATAATCGATGCAAATTGGCTTTCAGGTTTTATTTCAGTATGTTTCGTCATAGTTTATAACGATGCGCGGTTGAAAATGGCTTTCCCTCTTAAGTCAGGAAAACTGCTTGAGATTGAGTAGTGTTTTTAGTTTCTCGGGGACTTAAGATATTTTCAGGACTCCAATTTGTGTTTTGAAACACTTTCATTTCTTTTTTCTGTGCTGTACGGAAGTGCTTTTTCAGAATTGCTGCACTTGATTTATCTTAGAGCCACCTTTCAGTGAACAGGGAGTGGAGTAATGTGTTCACAGCGCAAGACTTGCGGTGTGTCGACAATTTATTCCTGTGCAGACGAAGAAAGTAATGATACACGAACAGAGACCAGGAGCTCATTCAGAACTGCATGTAGTCGTTTCACTGCAACGATACGTGCTAGTATTGTGGCGTATTGCAAGTGTGTTATATCAATGTATGTGTGGGTATTGTTAACATTTTTTTTTCTTTAGTACTTTCAGAACAGCACTGAAATTCTGATGTAATGATAATAAAATAATATTCCTAATGTTTGACTTTTTTGAAAATACAGCAGCTGAGTTTAGCATTTTGCTTTCATTGTAATCTCGTCTTCTTTGGCTGCCTTTATTTAATTTTTACGTCTCGTGCTTGAATCACCTTGAAACCTTTTCCAAAAATAATTTTTTTCCGTACTAACGATGCTTTTTTTACCCAACATTTTACCTTATTTGTGTTGTAAAATTGAGAGGTTTTCCATCCTACAGCATTATAATTTTGTTACAAGTTTTTTCTGTCCCGTTGATAGAAACTGTGCGCACGCACGTTTATTGCAGCTTCTCCTATAGTTGAAATAAGTTGTGGTGATAGTGATTGTTACTGTTTATATTAATTGAATAAAAGATTTGAGGAACAACATAAGACGGAAGAACGGTTTGAGCGATTCCTTGTTGTGGTCGAAACATTATTGTATAAATGTAAAAGTACCCACTTTCAGAATGTATAACTATGTGAGTAGAATTCATTTCAGCCAGTAACTTGATTTTGAGAAAAATGTGACTTATGTTGTTTGAGCAGTCACTGATTCTGTTTCATTGGAATTTATGTAAATGCCCAGGGACTTTTAAATCGCTATTACATACTTATCCGTAGTGTGGTTTGTAATGCTGTATGTAAGCGTACGGTTGATACCGGTTTTATTGTGCTCGGAGAATTTACATCAACTTCTCTTCATTTATAACGAAACTGCAATTTCATATCAACACTGATAATTCCTTTTCTGAGACTGCAATATCACCGGATTGTGGGCTGGATGATCTAGGTTCAGTTCGTGACAGGAACGCGGGTCCTGTTGGCAGTCGCTTCATGACAGTCTCAGGCTGACCTAGTCTTCTATCTAGTGAGCACTTGGGGCACTTATATCAGATGAAGCTGATTACTTGTGTCAATTTAGTGCTGAGGTTACGAATACACGTAGTTAATAGCTCCAGTCTTCATGCAGTGGTGTAAATTAAGAACAGGAAATTCTTTCTTTTTTCAATTCCAGCTTCTTTAAACAGGTGCGTGGTTAAATACAGTACAGGTAGGTGAAATTTAACCATTTTGCTCGCTTCACGCTGACACAGTTAATGGTCAGTTCTGGCAAATCTGGTCACGTCATACATTTTTTTCACAAAAAAAAATACCTGTGAGAATTTAGGTTCACACAGCGGTGAGTTTATGAAGATGACTGTCTTTTGCGATCATCGCACCTTATAATCTGGGGCCTACATGGTGTAAGATCCCAGAAGACCGTCATTTTCAAATTATGCCTTTTACAAAAATAAACAATGAAATATGTAATTAAAAAGATGTAGAAATATATCTCTGGTTGGTAACAGGAAGTTTTAAATGACGAGGCTACTTACAGGGAAGAGAAAAGGTCAGGAAATTGGAATTCAGAAAAGTCAGAATTTCTGAAATGTAATAGAACTGCGAAAATCTTTTTAATACAAAAAAATGGGGTACAATCATGCCTTTGCTTTTCCCACCCAAATCATTGGAAATGCTAAGAATGGCTTTTGCGATTTGGTGATCTGCAAGGCAGCTACAGAAATTAGTTTTGTTCACTGATTTTAAAAGAAAAGATAACGTAGAAATAAATTTTTTTGCACATATCTGCTGATGCACGGCTGTTTGTGGACACTGCGCCTAATGTACCTATGTTGCTTCTTGCTGGAATTGTTAATAGAGGTGTAGAAATTTTTCATTTGTTCCTGAACATCTCACTAACTTCATTCTTGTTCTAAACGTAGTTGTTTTCGGTTAGGTTTGTAGGGAGGTCAACTTTGCAGTTTGCAAGTTTTCATTCGTACTTTCACTAGCCTAAGTATCTCCAGTTTGTGTTGACCACTTTGATGACTGTCCAAAACATTTCAGAAATTGTATGTTTTTATGGGCGAATATGACATCGATCTGCTATTATTTTTAACAGTGAATCTGAAATGGTGCGACACAATATCCCATTGTAGTTGTGGCGCTGATTTTTCTTGATGTAGAACCGTCATTGTGATGTGTATAATGACCCCATTACACACTGTAATTGAGTTGATGGAATTCATAAAAAGTACAAAATGCTTATAAAAATTACGAATGTAATTAGAAAGTTTACATTTCATATATCATAGTTTGTGGCCTGTTTTCCATAAAACTGGTATTGAAGAAACAATTGGAAATGACGTACAATTTTGGGGCTTTTGGAGATGGGCCATGTCAGATGTTGGAAATTATCCAGTATTTCAACAAACATTGTGATTGTCATCTTCAGGGTGACTGTTTAATGGTTGTTTTGGAAGCCTCATGTAGGGCAGCGATCGATTGGTTGAGCAGAATGGGCTGAAAGTGTGTGACTGAGGAAAAGATGTGAAAAAAAATTTAAAGATCCCTTCCTGTTCTTGAAATATTTTTCATCAGCCATTAGCACATCTCCTGTTTGATACCAGCCTGCTCTTTGACTCCACCAATCAGCACCATCAAATCTAACTTGTCTCATACTGCCTGCTATATATATAAGCCTTCCAAAGTGACCATCAAAGATGTCAACATCATCATTTGCTGAAAGAGATCATTTTCAATATTTGACGAGGGTCGTCTCCAAAGCCGAAGTTGTGCATTGAAGTCCAGCCATGAAAACATAAGGACAAGCATTGGAAATATTCCCTTGTGGTCCTTATTTTTCCACATTGCAATAATTAATTTATGAACTTATTTCAATTTATTTTGGAATACAGTCACGTGCAAGATTCAATATTGTCCTTTGCGAAATGTCAAAATATATTTCATTTCCAATGTTGGATGTAGAATTTTGTATCACAGACACTGAGATTTTTATTTTGTGTGTTTTTGTGACTTTGACGCTGGACCAGGAAGGGTCGACAGTAATTGTGAATATTTGTGAAAAATAAAGTTTGATATTGCCCTGGTGGTGGTAATGGTAGTTGTATTTGTGTTTCTGGACCGAATCTGTTCAGTGCAGGCATTTATGTATTTAAAATGATAGAGTGAAATTACATGTAATACGTTTTTCATTATACTAAATGCTTCAGCATGTTTCCCATTATATCAAAACAAAATCTTCTGATACAAAATAGGGTTTGTATATTAAACAATTAAAAATAAACTGGTAATTTCATTCCTTTGTTCACCCCTACCCCATTAAAGTAAGGACAAGTTGGGAGGGGCTTGTAGGGCGTAAGGGGTTGATGAGAAATGCGTACAAAATTTTGTATAGGAAACCTGTCGGGGCAAAAGATTACTCTGAAGAACCAGGTCATACATCTGACTATAATATTAAACTGGATTTTGGGGAAGGTGTTGTAGGGTGTGGATTGGATTAAGCTGGCACAGGTTTGGGGCTGGTAGTGGGCTGTTGTCAAGACGGTAATGAACCTTCGGTTTCCATAAAATACGGGGGTTTGTTGACCTGCTGAGCGACTGTTGGCTTCTTGAGAAGGACTGCTCAGTAGAATTAGTTCAGTATCGTTACTGGCGGATAGGTTTCTGTTGGGGAAATGTTTGGAGACTGTCCTTAAAATTTTCCTCATGTTTATATCTCAAAATAAACCATGGTCACGTCTTTCAGTTTCCTTACTGAATCGCCGTTCTTATTAACCTCCCATGTCTCATTCAACACAACAAACGGCGGGAAGAAACGTTATTTCGTGTATCTATGGGCATCTTCAGAAAGCTGAGTTTGGAAAACAAAGATTTTTTTGTTCTCGTATCAGATTACCGGAACATTACCTGCTAAAAACTTTACTTAAAGAATATAATAACTGCTTATAGATCTTAATTAGTTCTGTTTAATCTCACGAGCGATTTTTGTATGATGAGGCGTTCTTAGATATCTGATACAGATTAAAGTGAATGTAGTGACAGCGATAATGAATTCGTCCAAATTGACCGCAATACGAAAATATAATCGAAAACACGAGTTATTTTAGAAACTGAATTAAGATTGCCAGACATGACGTTTTCATTACGTTCCATATGTACGCTTAGTATAAAGAAGAATAATGAGCATCTTTGTTCACATGAACCCAATTAGGAGCTTCCACTTGACTTTTCAAAGTGAAATTTATCAGACTTTTTATCCAAGGGTTCAGCACGCCTTCGCATTCAAGAGGTACGGGGATCAAATCTCGGCCCGGGTTTTCTGGGATTTTTCCTAGAAGTAGACCACAACCACTTCCTTCCATGTCGTTTCAATTTCGTTATTTATCTAGTGGAATTAGTGTCTTTCATGTTGGTAGCATTGACCACCTGTTGCTGTCGTTATGGCGGCGGGCAGAGAAGCGTGTTGCTTCCAGCAATTCGGACGTGAGTTGCGTGTGTGAGGTGTATTTCGGTTGTAAAAGCCGTAGTGTAAGGAGTAGAAGAGGAAAAACAATAATGAATGGAATTCGCAAGACACCACGTCAGGTTTTCCAGGACACGGTATGTAAGAAAACTTACCAGTTTATATTTTAAAGACGAAAAGGAAGCTAAAGATTTTGTTGTCACATGTAGGACGACGTGCCGGTTCGTGTCAACGCAGGCAAAGATTGGACTAGTTTTGTAAGCATCAGCTTGTCGAAGTTTGCGTTTTATGCAGCGTTGTCATGTCTACTGCAGGTGTCAGAACTTTTTTGAAAGCCCACGATAATAATTACGTGATGTTAGTAAACATTATCTCGACAAGTTTACCTGAATTTGAAGACGGGCGTATTACATATGTGGCAGTGTTTAAAGTGAACTTCACCGAATGAGCTTATGTGAGTAGCATGAAAAAGGGTGACGCATCTTTATTCTGTTGGGATTGACGTAATGTAAGTGCATTTTGATTGCTTCTAACAGCTACGTCATCGGCTTGCATGCGAACTCGCATTAAAATAAGTTTCACGCTTCATGGTAGGCAGTTGTTTCGATTGCCGTGAACACATGGTTGCAAAGGCACCGATATTATCGACAACTTCAGTTTCGATTGTTGAATCCATTTTATGTAGTGATTATGAAAAACTCGTGTGGCATATTGTATTTTGTTAGTTTTCATACAGTGATTATGACAAACCTAACCTGTTTGTGTGATTGTTTGTTTCCCGCATTTAATTTCTTCAGATTTGATTCTTACGGAATAAACCTTGTGTTCCGAGATAGTTTTTTTTCCGTAATATATGGGAACTATACGTACCGGTTTAAAATTCCCTGTAAATTGTTTTTTGTAATATTATGATGTAATCATGTTTATCCCCTTCAGATGTTACAATTAAGTCTGAGTGAATTCTTTCGCGTTAATATTTAAGAGCTCGCAAATAATTCTGGCACTGACGGGCAATTTATAATCTTACATTGATGGAGCAGCCAGTTTTGGCCGGACAGTGCCATTATTTTTCAGCCTACAATTAATTTACGTTCCTTAAATATGCACGAATTGCAAAGCTGTTTCGGATAGAAATTAATAAAACTTAACGAATTATATTATATTTGTGTATTTTTGGTTCAGTTTGAACCACTCTTTGAGACATCTGCTACGGGTTAAAAGTTTGGTTGAAATTACTGATTGAGAAGAGGGTATTATGTATGTGTTCGGCACACTTTAAAAACTTTCTCAAATTACATTCCTTGGTTTCCACCCTATGTGTTCGGCACACTTTAAAAACTTTATCAAATTACATTCCTTGGCTTCCACCCTAGGGTCCTTCAAGCTATAATTTCTGCCCTAGGGTCCTTCAAGCGATAACTTCTGCCCCTGAAATTTTGACCTGAAACTCGTTCTGTGACCCCTGTTATAGGCCTGTATACTAGGAAGTTCGACTGTGTATATTTTTTTTAAATTTCGTAGTAATTTAAGTTCACAGCGAACACAGTGTAAGACTCGCTCTTTATTCCAGATATCGTGAAACAGTCACAAATAATCTCTGACAGTACAGTAAACAAAAAATTGCCTAATTCACTGGCGCGTGTTTTACAGTAAAGGACGTGTCCTTTCTTGGTTCACGTGATTAAGAACGTAATTTACTTCCCTTACGAGGTGTGCTATGTCGAAGAAACACGTTCGTTATACTTTTGTGTGTTTAATGTTAGGCTCTCAAGAGAACGTTGACACGTACGAACAGCTGAAGTGTTAATGACGTCTCCCAAACATTCTCAAATCTAATTTATATACCAGTGTTTGTAATTTGTAATGCTTGAATCACGTTCCTTTTTTTTACTAAAGAATGCCTGTCCTGTAACCTCGTGTATTCGCGGTTATTGATATTTGCCAGTACGGACAAAATGAAACATATATTATCCGGGGTAGGTGGTCGGAGTTCGATTACCGGTTAGGGGCAGACTCAACCATTTTCAGACCGATCGTGAGGCCAGCCCAGTCTCACAGACCTTTATAAAGTGTACCAGGGGGCTCTTTTATCGGTGATAAAGTGGCCGGAGCTTGATGCTGAGTACGCATCTCCATCTAGTGCTGATATTACGAACTTACGGCCTCCATTTTTGAAATGAAGTCAAGATGGAGGCAGGAAGTTCCTTCTAAACGTTGACAGCCACCTACAAGACCACATGACGTCACAACCCTGAAGACCACAATTGAAAATCAACTAATTTACAAACTTGGTATTGATTCAGCCAAACGTTGCAAGTTTCTGTGGAACATCAAGGCTTAGAAGGTGTTAAATCAATTTGGTCACAGAAAGCACTCAATTTCGGTCGGCGTGAAGGTCTCGATGTGTGCCCAGCACAATTTGCATTATTTGCCATTTCATTTAGCGATGTTTTAGCCAGCCAGCATATTTATTTCTACCAAAATAGCAAGCACATCACGCTGAAGAGAGTTGTCTCCTTTTGTACAGTGACTTTGACACACGTGTTAGTTTTTTTTTTGGGGTATAGAAGTGGAATATTAGCAGTAGTAGCGTTATTTTATTTTTGCGAAGAAGTTGTCGACATGAACTCAAATTTCGCGTCGTCGCAATGATTTATTTATTTTTTATTTTTTTATTTAGTGTTCTGTGTGACGACAGGTCCATATGAACAGGATCCTTCCATCCTTTTCTCGGACTGGGACCTGTTCATATACGTTCTTGGCAGATGATCCAGAAGTGGTTTGCCATTGCCTTCTTCTGTGTGTGAATGGAGTAATTTTTGGGATGCCACGGAGGAAAACTCCGTGTTGCCTAGACCACGGCCTTGCCCAACACAAGTTATAAATTCGGGCACCGCCGGGAATGGAACCCGAGACCCCAGGATTACAAGGCCAGCGTTCTAACCGCTAGACCACTCTTGAACTAAATCACATATAAAGTTTGTAGAAATGTTTACCGTCTGTCTCCACGGTAAATTTAACACGCTTAGCTTAAGTGATTCATCACTTATCACAATTAAAACGAAAATTCCAGGGGACATTTCTCGCGGGTGCCATTTTGTAACGAAAAACTCGCAAATTATGCAAAGTTTTCGCAGACAAAAATTCCTTCATCTTTTAGGGACGACTAACCGGTTCAGGTGCTGGACTTCGTAGAAATAACCTGTTTGGTTCCACTGTGCATGCCAAAATATGTAAAACGTAGGCTCTGACGAAATGGCTGAGATTTAGGGCAAAGAAGTAAAGAAGAATGAGGTGGGCTGGAAATACAGCACGCATGGAAAAACCATAGAAAACTTTGATTGGCAGACATAGGCGTTCTGAACGTTCCAATCGAGTGCTTAGTATTTGGGTGGACTTGGGTTCGAACACAACTCCATGGAGCAGATTCATTCTCGAGAAGCTGACGGTATGCTTACCTAGTCAAATTAATTACCCGACGTTTATGGAGTCACAAAAGCCTGTCATCGGCCAAATGAATCCAGTCAACATTCTTAAACCCGACTTTCCTTACATCCAATTTAATATTATCCTGACACCTACTCCTACATCTTTCGAGCGGTCTCTTCCCTTCAGATTTCCCCAACCAGATCA